CCACGTGTGTATGACTGAGACAGTGAGAATTGTACAAGAAACAGCCGTAAGCCACATGGTATGACTGAGACAGTGAGAATTGTACAAGAAACAGCCACGAGTGTATGACTGAGGCAGTGAGAATTGTACAAGAAACAGCCACGTGTGTATGACTGAGGCAGTGAGAATTGTACAAGAAACAGCCGTGAACCACGTGTGTATGACTGAGGCAGTGAGAAATGTACAAGAAACAGCCGTGAGCCACGTGTGTATGACTGAATCAGTGAGAACTGTTCAAGGAACAGCTTTGAACCACATGTGTATGATTGAGACAGGGGAAAGCTGTGAGTCAAGTTTCTGTCTGGCTGAGCCCGTGAGCACTGGACAGGGTACGACCGTGAGTCATGATTGTGTGATTGAGAAGGTGAGAATTAAGTCAATGAATCAGAATATGACAACATTACACTCGGCATATTCCCATGCGTGCCCCACACCCGCCTCAGAAAAGTTACCCTGCTGATGGAGCCACTTGCAATGTGAAGTGAAAACTAAAACAACCAGTAACATTCTAAGCCATTTTCAAACGCAGGAGCCCCAGAGAGAAAGAATTAAGAAAAGTGGGTATTTGCATTCTAGTTCTTTTCCTACGTGACTTCCCCGTTTGGGCACCTGTCTTCGGATTTTTCTTCTGATTGTAATCTTTGATAAAAACTTCGGTCGAATTGTTCGATTGTATCTATACGCGTTTTACCTCATCGTCACATTCATTTTACATCTGTCGTTAAGTTCCCAAATTACAGTTTTTGTTTAACCAAAAACCGATTTGGTGGTCTTCAGATAGTAGTTCGAGAGTTGCACCGTGGAAGAGGTGAACTAAGTGGTCTCGATGCACGGCGTCCGCCTCGAGTGCTGGAGTCCCGGGCTCAAACCCGGTGAAGGCTGGAAGGAACCGTGGGCTATGATGTTGATCCGTCGACTTAACTAAAACTAAACCATGGAAGTGATTGAGTCAATGAAATATTCCCAAACATTCCTCGCCCACTTTCCCTAATGGCCCTAGCCACGATTCCCACGATAGTTTAGGTGTTTAGACTAACCGAGCGGAAATGACGTAGTTAGAAAGAGGGCTGACGGGAAGTGCAACCATATTTGTTCAGACCAGAAAGAAACCTCCACTTGCAGGCAAGTACCCCGGTGTCTTTCTCTGGCTCTGTACGTGTCTCTACACATTCTCCCGCCTCAATGCCTTCGCCTTCTTTTGCTTACCAATTAGATTATTTTTCAGCCTGATTTTGCCATGAGCCCATTGTGTATCTGTATAGAAACACCAGTAATGTCCGGCCGCACCTGAAGGTCATGTAAATAAGTAAATACTAATTGTAATAAATAATATTCTACGAATTGGAGACATTATCTGTCAATTCAATAGCAATACTAAAATACTTTAATACTTAATCTGTTTTGATTCCAGCACTCACAAAGTTCACAAACTACATTGTGTGGGTCATTATGTGGTTTGCTGGGACATCACTTGATGAGGTCAGCACAGAAACAGTCAGCGGAGAACTCACGCACTATATAGTATATATCATAACACTACACTTACACCACAATACTAAGTGTATAACGAGTATCCTCTAGCAAAGATAAAGAAGTAAAACAAAAACACCTCCTTCCTGTCGCTAGCCTATTGGACACCCTTAGGCAGGGTGGAATATCTGGCTCTACTGGCAAATCCGGACGAAGAATAAACATCCTTGGACGACTCAAGAGTTCTCTCCCTTGGCCGCACTCCAAACAGTGAACGGAAAACAAACGACACATTTACCTATCATCCTGCGGTTGAGTGTAGGGCTGCGTACGGTTGCGTGAGGCATTGTGAATGGTTGTGTAGTCATCATCATGCGGTTGTTGAGAGTTAGGGGTAGGGTTAGATGTTAAAATTTTGACGTAGGGTTTCGAAATAGTGGCCGACAATCTGATGTTTGTGGGCGTGGCGCCACTGAAATTCTGCTAAATATGACGCCAATAGTGTCGCTACAGTCTTGCTGGGGACATAGGAACATTGGCCGCGTGCACGAGGTACACGGTTGCGTGTTCCTTATCAGACTATGCTCAGCTAGCCACCGCAACCACGCATACTTATCTGTCATTATGCCATACAGGTCTGCAGGAGTTACGTCCGTTGCAACTAAGTCGTGCGTCGGAAGAACGATGTTAGTTATGTGAGTGCGTCTGACATGTTGCTGGTGTCGTTTGTTTCGTTGTGGCTTTTCCGATCACTGTTTGGAGTGCGGCCACGGGAGAGAACTCTGACTAAGTCGTCCAAGGCTGTTTATTCTTCGTCCGGATTTGCCAGTAGAGCCGAATATCTGTTTGGGACCCCCCCCCCCCCCCCCCCCCCCCCCCTGTCATGGCAACATGAAACCATGGGAGCAGCTGATAGATTGAGCTTAAGAGCAGGCAACAGATAGTTGTTTGGACAAAGAAGACACAACTATCTTCCAAATAATTGTCCCAATTTATCAAGGCCAAAAATATACTTTAACAGGGCCTCAGTCACATGTAAATTGCGCACTTCCGGCAACTCAAATTGCGCACTTCCGGCTGAGAGTACCTCTCACGCCGCTATGCATGGCCTGGATTGGGGCTAAACTAGATGGCTGGGATTCACAAGCAGCAGCTACCGCATCTCCTGCAGCTTCCTTCATTTTATTTGCTCGTGAGTCCCAGTCATGTACTTTAACCCCACGCCTAATATAGCGGCATTGAAGATACTCTTGGCGGTAACGGAAGTTCGCATTTTTCATGTGGCTGAGGCCCTGTTAGGGTATATTTTTGGCCTCGATAATTTAAGACTGTTATTCGGAAGATAGCCGAAGACACAAACAATAGACCACAATTTATTGCCTGGCATATTTCGCTGTATCTTGTCAGGTGCATACTACAGTAACAATTGATTAAAATGATGCAAATAACTGAATCCTAGAAACTGAAACACAAATTCGACTACATTCTTGAACTGTCTATTTCACCAAGGTAACTGTCAGGTAATGACCATTTCTTTCTGCCTGCAAAGTTCTGGTTTCAACCGGCTGACGCTTCCGCATATCTGAGTAATCTACGACAATTCGGCCAACCGTAGATTACCCCGATATGCGTCAGCGATCAGCAGTATGAACAAGAAATGTAGTTGCAAACTACCTTCTTTAAGATGCAAATAAAATTCCTGTGTTTACAACTGAAACCTATTGATGGACAGAGATGTGATTATTGAAAAGAATGCACTGGAGGGATATTAAAAAAAAAATCAGTGCTCATCAAGACATAAAAGTCATAAACTTAATTAGAACAGTTAGACAAATGAAACATAAGAATGCAGGGGGTGTTTTTTTCCTCAATACTATATGAAAAAAAAATGGATTTGAGGACTTCGTAACAAATGGTAAGATTGATGGAAAGAGGGTCAGAGGAAGGCAGAGAGAAAAACCATGGATGGATGCGGCTAGACGAAAACATATGCTGGGTAATTGATTAGCTTAGTATTAGCCAAATAAATACCTGAGACAGACAGTTCATGTAAAACAGACTAGCCAGTTTACAAAATTATGCCCACTCAGAAACATCAAAAATGATCGGGGGGGGGGGGGGGGGGTCTTCATCCGTACGTTGTTGCCCCAGTCATTGTAACTGTAGGAAGTTGTGTCATCATCATCATGATCCCAGCCACTGAGGGTATCATGTTATCACCGAGACCCCAGCCACTGAGGGTATCATGTTATCACCTGAGACCCCAGCCACTGAGGGTATCATGTTAGCGACTACGGTGTTCGGCAATTGGCGGTCTTTTGGCAATTTCCGTTATCATAGAAACCGTTCGAAACTTGCTTCGCAAATGTCGACTGGGGTTTCGGGATGGGTCCTAATCTCTCATGAAATTTTGCGGTTGGTGTGATTTTCACCCACTATAAAAAGCTGAAAACGGCGGGACGGAACCCGATTAACAGCGCATGTCTACGACAGCCGGACGTCCTCTGTTTTTCTGTTACATCAGTTTGATTGAAAATAGCGATAAGTATTCAGGGTTGGCTTTAGGCTTTAACTGTTACTGTACCTGGTAATGCTAGTTATAATTGAATTCTCCGTCCAATTTTACATTTGTGTATAAAATTTCTTTCTGGTACGTGGCTAGATAGATGTACAGTGACATTTTTCAGGCAATCGCTGGCTCAGCCAGTCTCATTGTTTGCCATCTTGTCCAATGCAAACAAAGCCAAAACGAAAGTTGCGCAGTTTGGTTGCGCAGAGAAAACTTCTTGTTTCTGGGAGACAAGTTTTAGCAGCTGTTTTTTTACATCTCATCTCCACAAAAACCTACATATCTCAGCTCAGAAATGACATACAAGCCTAAATGAGGTACCGTTGGAAAGAGATTTACAGCTATCTAACTGTGCTGGTTTTATTGGTGTAGAGGGCATTTTAAAAATTTGACTAAAGTACCTAGTATCATGTTATCACCTAGACCCCAGCCACTGAGGGTATCATGTTATCACCGAGACCCCAGCCACTGAGGGTATCATGTTATCACCGAGACCCCAGCCATTGTGTGGGGGTCATGTCATCAAGACCCCAACCACTGTGTAGGGGTCATGTCATCATCAAGACCCCAACCACTGTGTAGGGGTCATGTCATCATCAAGACCCCAACCACTGTGTAGGGGTCATGTCATCATCAAGACCCCAACCACTGTGTAGGGGTCATGTCATCATCAAGACCCCAGCCATTGTGTAGGGGTCATGTGATCATCAAGACCCCAACCACTGTGTAGGGGTCATGTCGTCATCAAGACCCCAACCACTGTGTAGGGGTCATGTCATCATCAAGACCCCAACCACCGTGTAGGGGTCATGGCTGTGAGGGGGCCTCTAGACCTGTTTGTGAAAATAGGTAGCCATTTCTAGGTCAAAGCTTTTGTTCCTTGTAGACACCTGATGATGATGATTTGGTTTCCTTCTCCAGAATGAGCAGCCAACTGTTTCGTGTGGGTCTCTGGGTGGCCAAGGTGCCACAGCGGGCTCTCAGCACATCTCCTGTTTGTGCCACCAGTGTCGTTCTAGATCAGAAGCTCAGGGATGAAATTTATCCAAAGATTGGTAAGTTTGTTTCTGTTGATTTGGTAGCCAGTATTTGAAGATTGGTAAGTTTGTTTCTGTTGATTTGGTAGCCAGTATTTGAAGATTGGTAAGTTTGTTTCTGTTGATTTGGTGGCCAGTATTTGGAGATTGGTAAGTTTGTTTCTGTTGATTTGGTAGCCAGTATTTGAAGATTGGTAAGTCTGTTTCTGTTGATTTGGTGGCCAGTATTTGAAGATTGGTAAGTTTGTTTCTGTTGATTTGGTAGCCAGTATTTGAAGATTGGTAAGTTTGTTTCTGTTGATTTGGTAGCCAGTATTTGAAGATTGGTAAGTTTGTTTTTCTTGAACTGGTAGCCAGTATTTGAAGATTGGTAAGTTTGTTTCTGTTGATTTGGTAGCAGTATTTGAAGATTGGTAAGTTTGTTTCTGTTGATTTGGTAGCCAGTATTTGAAGATTGGTAAGTTTGTTTCTGTTGATTTGGTGGCCAGTATTTGAAGATTGGTAAGTTTGTTTCTGTTGATTTGGTAGCCAGTATTTGAAGATTGGTAAGTTTGTTTCTGTTGATTTGGTAGCCAGTATTTGAAGATTGGTAAGTTTGTTTTTCTTGAACTGGTAGCCAGTATTTGAAGATTGGTAAGTTTGTTTCTGTTGATTTGGTAGCCAGTATTTGAAGATTGGTAAGTTTGTTTCTGTTGATTTTGTAGCCAGTATTTGAAGATTGGTAAGTTTGTTTCTGTTGATTTGGTAGCCAGTATTTGAAGATTGGTAAGTTTGTTTTTCTTGAACTGGTAGCCAGTATTTGAAGATTGGTAAGTTTGTTTCTGTTGATTTGGTAGCCAGTATTTGAAGATTGGTAAGTTGTTTCTGTTGATTTGGTAGCCAGTATTTGATAAGTCTGTGTCCTGGAATCTCCACACAAACTTGCAGGTAGCAGCTGTTAACAACCTGAATGTTAAATGCTAGATTGTTGCTCCTGTCACTGTCACTGCCTCAAGTAATTTCATGACCAGGATGTCTCCAAACTTGTATGCTGTTTTCTGTGTTGGCTGAGTTGTGTATGAAGCAAGTACAGTATTGTGTGCATGCTGTCATGTTGGCTGAGTCATGCTTCACCTTTTCTTCCAGAAACCATGTCTGAAATGGTTTGCCCACTTAGAGAGAATGCCTTGTGACACCATACCATACAAAGCATACATGAAAAGAGAAGAAGGACGTAGAGCACGGGGTAGACCAAGAACAAGATGGAAGGATAACATCAGAGAAACTCTACAACAGCACTATGTGCCTATGGTCGAGGCAGCCAGAAGAGCTAGAAACAGAACCTTATATCTCCCTCGACACCCACAGCGGTAAAAGAAGTGAAGAAGAAGAAGAACCATGTCTGCCTGTACTGTTGTCTAAATCACTGTGCTTTCACCTGGCTAAAGTATTTGTTCCCTAGATGCAAGGTTGAAGTGGCTGTCAGTTTTTCACTGGCTGCAGCATACCCCACAGTAGGCATGCACCACTGTGTCACTGCCAGCTCTTTCTCTGAAGCGAAATCCTCCTAAAACAAAAGACGTGTCAGGGTTCTGGCTTTTCCTTTCACCTAAAAAAAAATAAACTGGAGGGAAGTGGGTGAATGATCTGTGTGCTGACAAATCAGACGTACCATGGCAGTGCCAGGATAAAGAAATACAACACCCTTACAACAAACAAAGACTACAATAAGCAGATACATAGTTGAAAATATCGTTTATGTTTTCATGAACAAAATATTTCAAAGCAGTGTGTAACACACAGTGCCACATCTCAGTCCTTGCATAAGTATTTTGTTTCCTGTCAGTTTTTTGCTTTTTGAGATTAGTATTAAGTGAAAGTCAACAGTGTTTCCCCCTACAACTTTATGCAACAAATTTGCATTCAAAATGGAAAGATCTAAAGTATTTTGTAATAGTTGACAGTTTTTCAAATGAAATAGACCTGAGAAGTATGTCAGTACAATCTTTTGAACCCATACATTTGCTGTAAGCCACAACGCACTTTGGCTTTAGAATATTTCATTGTTTTCCCAATTTTTGTGGGGGGGGGGGGGGGGGGGGGGGGGGGGGGGGGGTCTGTTACTTACTACTATTTCTGAATTGTGGCATGTAGCCATCCAAACCTCTCATTTATCACACCAGTTGAGAGCTACTAAACTTGCAGCAGACATGTGATGTCTCGTTCATAGCAGTGAGGGTGCAAAAACCACAAGGCAAGTTAGGTATGTTGCAGTCTGCAGGCAAACAACATGACTAAACATGCCCAAAGTAGTGAAGGGGTACCAAGCAACAGGTGGTTATGTGTACTTTACCTGACTACAGAGACCACCAGCTGTTGGTGGTTTTACTTAGCAATTTTAGGTTTACTATTTTGCCGCAGCCCTCTTTTGCTCAATTCAGAACTCATGCCAGTTTCATAATCAACGCAAAGCAGTTTGCTGTCAAATTACCTACAGGTAAAATCAAACTTGGCTGTGTTGAAATTATGGAAAATGTGACAAATATGAAAATTATGTAAGGCATTTAAAAAAAAAAGTTTATAGAGCAAACTTAGCCTAATAAATATTATTTGGGGCGGTGCCTTAGCCCAGCGGGCTCTGATAGGCACCCCTAGTTACTGCTGACATTCTGTGTGATCCCATAAATCTGTTCTTGTGTTGCCAGGAAACCGGGAAGTGGTTGGTTTTGGGATCAATGGTTACGCCTCGTATGTGGACAGGTGTGAATTTCCCTGTCCAGCAATTCGCTTCAAGGAATCCACGCCAGAGATTCTCAAACTGCGGGAGAAGGAGAAAGGGGACTGGAAGACGTTATCGCTGGATGACAAGAAAGCTCGTGAGTACAACTGTTTGTAGACTTTCAGGGCCCTATTTTAGAGACAATCAGAATAGACCGTCTGTCCTTCCCTGTGCACGTGCATGCAACAACTATTTTGTAACAAGATCCAGAAGTTGACGAACAACCAGAACTTTCTGCTGGTGAACACTGACAAAAGGAGAGTGTGGCACTTGAGATGTTGGGTCATTCCATTCTAATTTGTTTCATTAGAGAGTTTTTATTTGCACATCTGATCAGCTGACTTGCCAGATTTACCGGTGTGATTTTTAAGTCTGACTTTATTATTGAGGGATGAGAGGCAGGTGAAGGAAAACAGAGATACTGTGGTGAGACATAGGGGCACACATGTGCCAGGTAAGGGAATATTACCATCCTCTCTCTTGTAATGTATTCTGTGTTGCCAGGTAAAGACTTACAGAAGCTAGAGTTGCCAGAACTGCAGTATAGTTCTCATAAAAGATCATTTTTGTCTGCTCATGGAAATCTCTAAGTGCATCAGTCTCCTCCATAGATAACACCAGGAGGCTGTGAGCACAGCGCATCAACTCAGCCACCAGCAGTGTGTCAAATGTGTGAAGCATTGACACTTTGACCTCTGACCCTACACACGGCAGAGGTTTTAAAGGCACTTCCGGTGAGGGGGATCGACTTTATTGCACTAGGTTTTATCCAGCCTTGCTATTCTCGCTGCCAAGTACATCATTACCCTAACTGCATAGTTCTGGCGACAGCCCCTCAGAGATCTCCAAAATAATTGTACCCATGAACCGATTAGCAGTCTGAAACTGACCCCATTACATCCAGAGTGTGAGGCAAACTGCTTCTACCCATTCTCTGGACATGTCAGATCTCAGCCTGAGCGTAGAGTGCCTGAAACAAGATGTGTCCTGGGTTGGAAGAGGAACTGTGTAACAAACAAGATAATGGTTGTGTCAGTGACGCTGGGTTTTCTGTTGCCAGTGTACCGGGCCAGTTTCTGCCAGACTTACAGTGAGATCAACGCCCCAACTGGAGAGTGGAAGTTCATTCTGGCGGTGATTCTGTTTGCTTTTGCTGGAAGCGGCTGGTTGGCATTGTATATGAGAAAGTTTGGTACGTATCTCTTGTTGCTAGTTGGTTATGTTATGTCATCTTATTCTTCCACTGTTCTGTTATGGCATAGAACTTTCGACTTACGGGAGAAAGTTTGTATGACCTCTTGTTGCTAGTTTATGTTGTGTCATCCTATTCTTCCACTGTTCTCTGGGACATAGACCTTCGACTTACGTGAGAAAGCTTGGTACCTTTCTCTTGTTTGCTAGTTGGTTATGTTATGTCATCTTTTTCTTCCACTGTTCTTTATGGTTGCTTGGTTTGTTGTCGTATGACCTTTTTCCCTAGTTTACCGTGTCTGTGAGGCTTATACCTTCAGCTATCTCATACTAAATGCTTTGTCTTCTTCCAGATTGTTTTAGTTTTATGTTGCAGCTATCATATTTCGGTGAAATGGACATAGGTTTCGACTCACCTGAGAAATTATTAAGTCTCCAGGATAGAACAAGCATTATCAGTCTTGTCCCCCAGATGTTTGCGGCTTGTCGATGGAGGCACACGCACGGTGCTGTTTGATGTGGCGTATTGGGATCAGGGTGTGCTGGAAGACAGAATATTCTGGGATAACTGAAGGTTGTGATGTGTGTGATACATCATAACATGGTGTGTATGTGACCTGTTGTTTGTAGCATAACATATTGTCAGGCGTTTGACATGTTGTATACATGGGAGAAATACAATCAGGAAATAATCGGTCGTGACACCAGTTTTAGAGCCTTAATACAAGTATGCAAGGAAATAATCGGCAGTGACATGCCCCTTGAACAATCTAGAGCCAGCATCAATGTATGCAAGCAAACCGGGACAGTATGCAAGGAAATAATCGGCACACTTGACATGCCACTTCTAACAATCTAGAGCCAGGCATCAATAGTATGCAAGCAAAACGGGGACAGTTTTATCAAGGAAACTAATCGGCAGTGGACAGGAGCCACTTGAACAATCTAGAGCCTGCATCAATGTATGCAAGCAAACCGGGACAGTATGCAAGGAAATAATCGGCAGTGACATGCCACTTGAACAATCTAGAGCCAGCATCAATGTATGCAAGCAAACCGAGGACAGTATGCAAGGAAATAATCGGCAGGGGTGCATGCCACTTGAAAACTGAAGGTTGTGATGTGTGTGATACATCATAAATGGTATTGCATGCAAACCTGTTGTTTGTAGCATAACATATTGTCAGGCGTATGACATGTTGTATACATGGGAGAAATACAATCAGGAAATAATCGGTCGTGACACCAGTTTTAGAGCCTTAATACAAGTATGCAAGGAAATAATCGGCAGTGACGTGCCACTTTAACAATCTAGAGCCAGCATCAATGTATGCAAGCAAACCGGGACAGTGGCAGTATGCCAAGCTTTCACTAGGAGTGTCAAGACTTACTGCAGATAGACCAGAACAAGGGGGAGCCTTATCTGACACTGACATCAGACTGACCATAAGGACAAGTACAAAAGACAGGGTCACCTGACACAAGTAGCTAGGTGTTGCTGCTGACATCAGACACCCTAGGCACAGCTTCCTGCAGGTGAACAAAATTGAGCGCCGAACTGGGTGGAGGGGGCGGAAAACTCCAATAAGGTGGCACTTAGATAACTCATACCAGGACATGGGTAAAAGAGCCGACAAACTGGCTGGGTCTGCAGCAGTTAGCTGATAAAGAAAAATGGGCAGTGCAGAAATACTATGTGCTGCATCCAGAGACTGAATCAAATGAGCCAGCAACGATCAATCACCAGATGGAAATGGATATAAGATGAGGACAAACGTGCAGAAACCAGTTGTGGGGCAAAGACAGAAGTAATGCCAGGCAGATCCTACATGATCATGGAGACACTGAGGTGGCTGCTGCATCGGAGCACGAAAGGGTGCGACATGTGATAGGGTGTCTTTCCCGGAACATATTATATGTAGTGTGGTCTGTGGCATGCTGTATGTCTTGTGACATGTAGTATGGTCTGTGGCATGCTGTATGTCATATGATATGTTGTGTGATTTTTTTTCTCATCTTCAGTGTACCCCCCGCCAGTGAGGACACTCAACCGAGAATGGCAAGAGCATACGCTGCAGAGGATGCTGGACCAGAACCAGGGGGCCATAATGGGAGTCTCCTCAAAGTGGGACTATGAGAAGCAGGAGTGGAAACAGTAAACACTCGTGTGCCTGCAGCTTTGAATTTAGTGGATAGTTGAAATGTCTTAGGTCATGAGCTGTCAGGTTCAGCAGATAAGCGTGATCTAGGTAATTTTGATAGATGTCATGTGTTCTTGTTTGTATGCTGTTTCAAGTGATAATCTAGAAATGTACTCAGGCAAGCAAAAGCGCTCGAACCCCACCACCACCACCACAGATGAGGGCTACAGTGACTCGTAGTCAGAGATCAGTTCAAATATTACCTCGGACAAAACTGAACTCAAAGATAACAAAGTGATTGGGTTTGTAACTGTTACACACCTAGATTCTTCACTTGTCATCTTTCATTGTCCTGACTGCCCAGTATGTGAACTTGATTGTTCGGTGTTGGTTGGAGGGCTCTGGGGTTCCGGCCTTCTGATGATCTTACAACTGTAATTGTGTTATTGATAAATGCATTCAATCAACCCATGCCTGGATTGTTTATGGTAGCAACATCTGTCTGTTGGGGACCATCGCAGTTTGAGTCTGTTGGTGGCACCATCTCAGTCTGAGTCTGTTGATGGCAGCATCTCAGTCTGTTGGTGGCACCGTCTGAGTCTGTTGATGGCATCATCTCTGTCTGTTAATGGTACCATCTGAGTGTTGGGGACCATCGCAGTCTGAGTCTGTTGATGGCGCCATCTGAGTCTGTTGATGGCACCATCTGAGTCTGTTGATGGCAGCATCTCTGTCTGTTAGTGGTACCATCTGAGTCTGTTGGGGACCATCTCAGCCTGAGTCTGTTGATGGCAGCATCTCAGTCTGTTGGTGGTACCATCTCAGTCTGTTGGTGGTACAGTCTGAGTCTGTTGATGGCACCATCTCAGTCTGTGAGTCTGTTGATGGCACCATCTCAGTCTGTGAGTCTGTTGATGGCACCATCTCAGTCTGTGAGTCTGTTGATGGCACCATCTCAGTCTGTGAGTCTGTTGATGGCACCATCTCAGTCTGTGAGTCTGTTGATGGCACAGTCTGTCTGTAAGTCTGTTGATGGCACAGTCTCAGTCTGTTGATGGCACCGTCTCAGTCTGTGAGTATGTTGATGGCACCATCTCAGTCTGTGAGTCTGTTGGTGGAACCATCAGTCTGTGTCTGTTGATGGCACCGTCTCAGTCTGTGAGTCTGTTGGTGGAACCGTCTGAGTCTGTTGGTGGTACAGTCTGTCTGTTAGTGGAACCATCCTATTTTGGCCTGCAGTAATTGTCCATTGATATTAACATGATCTACCATGTCCTCCTGAATCTCTGTAATGGGCGCTGCTTCACGGACTTGCTTGTTGTCTTGCGTGTCCTCGCCTCCACATGTTTGCTTTCTGGTTTTGTTGTTGGATATTAGATTTACTTTATTAGACATGTATACACTGTTTCCTGAGGATATTTAATGGATATAGATATAAGTCATGAATTTGCTAATGTGGATATATAGTGAGGCAATGTGTTTTACTTATATGGATATACTGTTATGGAGGATTCACTTTTATGGATATAGTGTTATGGAGGATTCACTTTTATGGATATACTGTTTAGTTGGTTGTTGGCATTTTATGTAAACATTTGGCAGGTATGCCCATCAGGTGAAGCATTTACTGGTTAGATGTGTTTACACACCTGTGCACTGAGCCAGGTAACACACCTGTGCACTGGTTGACATATCTGTTCTACCAACTAACAACCCTGTACACATATGTAGCTTAAGATGGATATTATTTCTTTGTTGGTGTAAATAGTGGATATTGGTGACAAGTGTTCAGGCCTTTAATTGTCAGCGTGGGCTTTGCTCCATTGTCTGTGTTACTCACAAACCAATACAACAGCCTGACATCATGTGTTTACCACATTGTTGTTGGATTCTTGATGTTACCAGTCATAATGTGTGAGTTGATGTTACAGCCATGTGTGAATGAATGAGTTACGCCATAAGTGTTTGGGTGAGTTGATGTTAAGGCCATGTGTGAATGAGTGAGATACAGCCATAAGTGTTTGGGTGAGTTGATGTTATCAGTCATCAGCATATGGGTGCTTGCTAACCTGGCTTTCATAAATCACAGATAGGGCATGGGCTCAGTAACAGCACTGTTTATAGTCATTTTTGTCTGCTTGTCGTCTCATTAGTCAAACATCTGCAACAGTGGTTTGCATAAATATGTAGACAGACACTCTATTTCTTGAGCAAGTTGTAGTTCACCAGCACAAAGTGGGTAGTACTTATAGATGTCACTGGGTATATGTATAGAGTACTTGGAGACATCATGGCAAACTACTGGACGTAAATTTGCCTAGAGAAACCACACAACAGCAAGGAGCTACTGGGGTTGGTTCTGCAACATCCTGTAAAGGTTAGGCAACTAACCTAACTTGGAGACATTGCAGAGAATATGTATGTAGTACTTGGAGACATCACGGGGTCTGTATGTAGCACTTGGAGACATCACAGGGTATATCTGAGTCATTTAGGTCCTGTACGTGGGTTACTTGGGTTATATTTGAGGTAAAGTTCATCTTGAAAGACATTTACGTATAACAATATGTAGCCTATTTTGCTATCACATACACAGTATCAGCAAACAATGTTGCGTCCAGGTGCCCTCTTCTCTGCCTTGGTTTTTACAGTGCTTCAGTCTTATGTAGCTTCCTGTAGTATGCAAGAAGTTGTCTGTGTGTCAGATGTCCGTCAACATCTGCTGCCTCTCCATATTCTCCAGTTGGTTCACTTGTAGACTGTCCAGGGTTGACACATACATGGTTTCAACTAGCTGAGTATAACACTGGATCTGGCAGGCACTCAGGGCCAATGCCAGAAAGACACAGTCTACTGTACTACTGGAACCACTAGGATGGGAGCTCTATCAGACTGGAACCACTAGGATGGGAGCTCTATCAGCTGCTGTAGGTGGGAATGGAGCACTGTGATGTTGGTTTATAGTCAGCTCAAAGTAATGTGGAAGAATTCTGTTTCCAACTTGCGACGATAGGGCATAGGACAACAAAACATCTCCTTATATCCGGAGGTACATGTAAAACTTACTTTATACTGTCTCCAGTCGAAGATTTACTCTCCGTTTGACTGTTCAGACAGTTGCAGACTTTCTTGATACTATCTCTTCAACTCTCCGGAGGGTCACAGGCTTACTTGATACTGTCTCTTCAACTCTCCGGAGGGTCACAGGCTTACTTGATACTGTCTCTATTCAACTCTCCTGAGAGTCACAGACTTACTTGAAACTGTCTCTATTCAACTCTCCAGAGAGTCACAGACTTACTTGATACTGTCTCTATTCAACTCTCCAGAGAGTCACAGACTTACTTGATACTGTCTCTATTCAACTCTCCGGAGTCAAAGACTTACTTGACTGTCTCTATTCAACTCTCCGGAGGATCACAGACTTACTTGTCTGTCTCTATTCAACTCTCCGGCGGGTCACAGACTTACTTGATACTGTCTCTATTCAACTCCCTGGAGTCAAAGACCTACTTGATACTGTCTCTATTCAACTCTCCGGAGTGTCACAGACTTACTTGATACTGTTTCTATTCAACTCTCCGGAGTGTCACAGACTTACTTGATACTGTTTCTATTCAACTCTCCTGAGAGTCACAGACTTACTTGATACTGTCTCTATTCAACTCTCCTGAGAGTCACAGACTTACTTGAAACTGTCTCTATTCAACTCTCCAGAGAGTCACAGACTTACTTGATACTGTCTCTATTCAACTCTCCAGAGAGTCACAGACTTACTTGATACTGTCTCTATTCAACTCTCCAGAGTCACACTTACTTGATACTGTCTCTATTCAACTCTCCAGAGAGTCACAGACTTACTTGATACTGTCTCTATTCAACTCTCCAGAGAGTCACAGACTTCTTTATTCTGTCTCCATTTGACTGGCCAAAGTTGGGACATGCACTCCTTGCGGCTGTGTTTGTCGTTTGGGTGGAGATGAGTGAGACTGTTGTATCAGTGGAGGTGGTTGAGACAGTCGTGTGGCTACCAGTATAAGGGGGATACCGGCTGGGTGGAGTGTGGTAGGGCCAGCGAACAATTGTCCCACATTCTGGCACTGATAGTCTATTAGAGAATTCTTGTTGCTGATTCTGACGATGAGTCGGTAGCTAACAGACAGAAACCCATTAACATAACCCTACAGCTTTGCACAACACAGGTGTGCATGAAGCTAATGGAATAAAGGGAGGCAAGTCAGAGGGGTTTGCTGCCGTCCTTGGCAATATGTGCACATCAGTGTGGTAGATTTGGCGCTGGTGTCCGTGTATAGTGCAGGTCTGAACTAGCAAGGATTGCCTATTCGGCAAGTCCTCGAAAGTGTTCCCTGGTCTGATGTCATGTCAGCTAAACTGGATGTCTTGTGGAGATGCCAGGACATGCAGCGGACACTCCAAGAGCTGTCGTTGGTTACAGGGGAGCGGTTCTGCTAGTTGCTGATTTTGCAACTACATTTTAACTGGCAGGTAACACTCGTCCTTATCTGACACTGTCACATACTTCCTACAACACTGTAGCTGCGTTAGCGCAGTCGATAAGAGGCTCAATTTCAAATACAGCTGTGACTCGCTGGTCATTGTCCGAAACCGGGCGGTTCTTGGGGTTCATCTAGCCTCTAGGAAATGGATACTAGAGTTGAAACTCTGGGGTGACTGGAGGAACGTCGCTGTAGCTACGGAGTTACGTGTGGACGGCGACACAAGCGGACAGTTTCTTATCAGCTGTCCGTACTGGTGGTAGAGCACTTATGGTTTATAACCGTGTGCAATGACGCTGGCTCACATCTCCAGACTTTACCTTTACTCTTCCTACGTCCTCATATACATCTCCTATATGTCCTCACTTACTTCTCCCACGACATTTTAAGTATGTCATGCTTCTCCCATAGACCCTCACCCATGGGCAAATAACCCAGTTTCTCATCATCCTGTGGCAGGCAGGGCTACCAATGGGATTTTTTTTTTTAAACCCAGCTAACCTGACCACACAACAACAAAAACCAAGTAATGATATGAGATAGAAAACAGCACTATACAACTCAAAGACAATTACACAGTCAATCAAATTATATGTATTTTTAGAAAATAGCTGTATCAATCAACAACTTGGAAATGATTCTGACACGTTAAGAAGACTGTCTGCGATGCTTGACACTATGAATTAAGTATCAGTGGAAGGACACTGTCCTAACGGTTTTGTGATCGTTGATGGGTGTCTCTTCCTGCTACATTCCACGGTCTCAATTGGTCCAAAAACACAAGTTACGATGAAGTGGATTGAATCACATCATAATATTTAGTTCAGAGCCAAAGTGACAGAACAAGGATCAGCCAGCCTCAAAGATCTGGCACTGCCATACTCAGACAAGAATGTTAACCTCACCGCAGGAAACGATGGTAGCGGCACTTGATTTAGACGATGCTTACAACATGTTAGATACAGTATCTTGATCAACGCGCTTATGGAGAAGGGAGTCTGTCCTTGATTGATGAACTGGATTGTAGCAGTTTTATATGCTCTCTGCCTGGTTTTTTTTTTTTTTACTTGTGCAACAGAAGTATTATGGGTTGACAAAATTCTGGAAGACCTAGACTTCGCCGACGACATAGCACTCCTGAGTTCAGAACACACAGACGCCCAAGAAAAAATCAATCGACTCCAGAAATTCTCAGAACAAATTGGACTCCAAATTAACACCGCAAAAACAAAAATTCTAGACTTTACCAACAATTCAGTTGATATCACGCTGAACAACAACAGCCTTGAAAAAGTCAACAGTTTCACTTATCTGGGGAGCAAGATGTCATCTACAGGAGATACCGCACCAGAAATACCATTTAGAATAGCACTGGCATCTAGTGCCTTCAATAAACTGTCCAACATCTGGAAATCAAAGACACTTAGCAAACACACAAAACTCAAGATCTTCAATTCTTGTGTGATTCCAGTACTAACCTATGGATGCGAGAGCTGGAAATCAACAAATACTCTAGACACAAAATTAGACAGTTTTGAAAATAAATGCCTTAGAAATATACTAAATTTCAAATGGTCAGATATCCGAACAAATACACAAATAAGGCAAGAATCCAGGCAAGAGTATGTGTCTAATTTTATACGAAAACGCCGCTGGAACTATGTCGGCCACGCCCTCAGAATGGATAAATCAAGACTTCCTTACCAAGCCCTCATTTGGACACCACAGGGGAAAAGATCTCGTGGAAGACCAAGGGAAACTCTACGTAGAACTATCATCAGGGAAGGCTCGCTCATGGACCACTCAAACATCCAAGACCTACAACGGATTGCAACGAACCGCCATGCATGGAGAGTCATGACCTCTGCCCTATGTGCCGCACTCGACACAAGAGGAAAGACTAACTAACTAAACATGTATTACAGCCCCTACACTACCACGGGGATCTGCAATTTCACCTATGGTCCTCAATGTGTTTACGAGCAAGACTGTGGAACTGAAAACGTCTGGAGTTGGTAGTACTGTATATTGACATTCGCAGATGATTTTGTTACATATAGACAGGGGAGAGATCGGAATCGAAAAGTTTAAGAGTTACAAGCAACAGTAGATAAGGTGATCGACTGGTGTACATAGATGAGTGCTGCAATCAACCCAGAAAAGGCAACCATCCTGTGGTGTTCTTTGGACAGCAGGATTGTTAGAGCTGATGTTCAAAGCCTCAAAATAAATGACAGGGACATAAAGAGAGACATAGAGCAGACTATGCTACCTGTGAATCACCTTTGACAGAAGCTTATCTTTCAAGGATCGCATGGAGGTGGTTGTGCCAAAGGCCCCAAAAGGTTTCAGTGCACTCAATCAATCAGGTGCCGTCTCCACAATGAAAGTTGGCTGCAATGGATCTCCAACAAGCCCTGTCTCTTGCCCTTTATGTACACTCACTCATACTGCTGTTCGTCCATCTCTTGATGTTATCCTCCTACTTGTAACGCTGTCTGCCTCTTGCCCGCCTACCTTGAACCTTTCCCTCTAGGATGATCTTTACAATACTGTTATGTCTTTTAATGTGACCAAAATATTTCACTTGTCTCTTTTTTATTTCACCTAGCAACTCTCTTTTTATTCCCAATTTCCCCAGTACCTCTGTATTTGATAGCTTTTGTTTCCATGAAATACGACCTAATCTTCTGTAAATCCACATCTCCAAAGAATTGATACGATTTTCCAGTTGTTTGTTCATTGTCCATGTCTCTGTGCTATACAGTAAGGTTGAGAATACATAACAATTGACAATTCTTATTTTTAGTATTAATGTATTGCTTATTTCTCTTGATGTCAGTAACTTTTGCATGTTGTTGAAAATGTTTTTGGCCATCCCTATTCTTTTCTTGACTTCTGTTTCACTTCTGCCGTCACATGTTATTACTGGTCCAAGATATGTCATTTTTAACTTGTTCCAATTTCACCCCGTTCACTGTGATATTCATTGTTAGCTGGTTATTTTCTTTGCTAATTATCATGGTTTTTGTCTTTTTCAAAATAATATCTAATCCAAATTCTGCACTCCTTCTGTTTACTTGCTCCACTAGATCTTGCAACTCCTGCTCACTCTCCGCTAGCAACACTCTGTCGTCAGCATATCTCAGATTGTTTATTATTCTACCATTGATGTGCAGTCCTGGTAAATCTACAATTTCTTTAAAAATTGTTTCTGTACATAAGTTGAAAAGGCTAGGCGACAGCACACATCCTTGTCTTACTCCTATCTTGATCTCTATCTGGGGTGAGCAGATGTTGTCATATCTTACTGTTGCTTCTTGCTCCCAGTATAAGTTTCTAATAAGTCTGATATCCTTGCATGCTGAAGAACATTGGGCGAGGAGAGGAGTTGGTCAGAGTACCAGAGAAAAAATTCAGTCACATTAGGCGGAAGTGAAAAGAGTGGCCAGCAGGGGCTACTGAGGTGGAACTCCAAAAGTTGATTCACGTCAATTCTCGTCCAGAGGATATGATTATTTACACAGATGGTTCTGTAATGAGAGGGAAGAGAAGTGCCTGAGGTTTCGTAGCGAAAGCAAACGAACAATCTTTAGTGCAGTACTGCCTGGCAAATGATACCTCGACACCTAGCATGAGAATGGAGGTGAGGGTGGTCACTGCAGCTTGCCGGTGGCTAGAGAACAAGATGCATACACATCTCGTAATTGTAACAGACTCTGAAAGCATACTGAAAAAAGGTGAAGACAGGGATGCTTTGAGCAGAGTGGCTAGCTTCACTGGAAAGGTCACGGGTGGTGAGCATACTTTGGATTTTTTCCCCAGGCCATGCCGGCGTGTTGGAGAATATACAGGCAGACAGATTTGCTGGATCTGCACCGCTGGTTGGTGAACAAGGCAGATGTGGTCAGAGCCCTTTGGGAACAAGTAACGAAGTCAGAAAAGAAAACTAGATTATTATGGGCTGGATAGAATGATGCACCTGGGTGTGACCAGAGGGTTCGGCCGGCATACTACGCTCAGAGAAAAGGCAAGACGCACATACAACCAAACTACGACCGGCACCATTAATATTGGAACTCTGGGCTGGCTGCTGAGGCTGGGGATGGAGTGCGTATGCGAATGCTGTGATGTCAATTCTGGACTCAACTCAACCTCCTCCTGTTGTGTGTGTGGTCACTGGTCTGCGCCTGCGCGGCTGCTGCTGCAGGCCGGAAGCTGATGTCTGACGGTCGTCGTCTGTGAAAGATTTGCAGTTTCTCACGTTTGTTGTCACCATGTCCGCCAAGGAACAGGCTCTTCTCTTAGACCCGCCGGGCGAATTACGTTTCAGAGGTAATTGTTGATGCATTGACATATCTGCGATAGCCAGCTCGTTTGAAGACTCCAGACTGTCGTTCAGCCATGGAATGTTATTTGTTGTTTTCCCTTGTGAAAGTTTGATCAGATGAACGAATAATAATATATATTGATTACCGGGCATTTGGATTCTGACGGGATAAAGCCGTCAGAGTTATTTTGTTTGTTGAATTATGAAATTACAATACACATTTCTACATCAGAAGAGATACTAGCATGTGAACTAAATGTTGAAGAGCCTAGATTTAGGTTGCTATCATTCACTGTTACTACAAATCTAGTTGCAGCACCTAACTAACACCAGCGTTGGTTGGAAAAGGGAGGGGGGGGGGGGTATAACTAGGTAATTTTACACGTTCAGTCATTTGATATTTAATATAGTAATAAGGTGTGACCACGAGGGAGACCAGGAAGACGATGGGGAGATAATATCCAGACAGACCTGCAAACAATTGGTGTTTGTTTCCAACTGGAAAGAGAAGGCTAACCAGAGGGATGAATGGATGCGGGTGATATCTGCAGCAGTGAACCTCAAGGGATCAGAATGCTGAAGAAGTAAGGTGTGATAGTATTTTACAGGCATCTAAGTTTAAATATCTGGAAACAGTATTCTCCAAAAAATGGTATACTAGATGAAGAAATTTAACAACTGATCATCATCATTATCAGTTCTCGTTATGCCTAGTGGCACATGAGGCTTCAGAGAGGACTTTCCATGCTTTCCTGTCCTGTGCAATCTTCAGTGCAGTTTTCCATGTCAAAGATGCCGCACTCAGGTCACTTTCCATCGTTCGTCTCCATGTTGTTTTTGGGCACCTTTGTTTTCTCTTTCCCTCTGGTGTTCATGTGAGAGCTGTTTTGGCAGGTATATCAGAAGTCATTGTCATAACGTTTCTTGGTTTGTGACTTGAAGTAGTTTAGTGTTTACTGCATCAGTTTAACAACTGATGCAGTAAAGCAAACCAATTATTGGAACAGCTAGGGTGGCAATTCTTGTACCAGGTGACCCTAGGGGATGTAATCAATGGGAGACAGTCAGTTGTTTGCGTACTTGACCTAATAATAATGATGATTGGCATTTTTCCATCACTTTCCATCGTTCGTCTCCATGTTGTTTTTGGGCACCTTTGTTTTCTCTTTCCCTCTGGTGTCCATGTGAGAGCTGTTTTGGCAGGTATATCAGAAGTCATTGTCATAACGTTTCTTGGTTTGTGACTTGAAGTAGTTTAGTGTTTACTGCATCAGTTTAACAACTGATGCAGTAAAGCAAACCAATTATTGGAACAGCTAGGGTGGCAATTCTTGTACCAGGTGACCCTAGGGGATGTAATCAATGGGAGACAGTCAGTTGTTTGCGTACTTGACCTAATAATAATGATGATTGGCGTTTTTCCAGACGATAGTGTTATATTGCGCTATGATGAGGCATGGAACTCTCAGTTCATAGCGATGACGAGTGTGACTAGCAAGACCCGCCCGTGTTGAGAAAAGTCTTCCACAAATTATTTAAGGCATTGGATTTCAGGATTGTTGTTGTTGATTGATGTTTTACAGTCGTCATCTGTGAAAGGTTTCCATTTCTCACGTTTGTTGTCACCATGTCTGCCAAGGTACAGGCTCTTCTCTTAGACCTGCTGAGCAAATTATGTTTCAGAGGTAATTGTTGATGCATAGGCATATCTGCGATAGCGAGTTTGTTTGGAGACTACAGACTGACATTCAGTCGTGGAATGTTTGTTGTTTTCCCCCGAAAGTTTGATTAAAAAAAATAATAATATGTATTGGCCATCAATGTAGACTGCAGGTCTATCGTTAATACCTTGCACCGTAACCTATGTCTTCTTTTTCCTGATTGTTAAGGGATTATGTTCCCTGGGGTCAGCACTTAAAGTAATATTAACTTACAATAAATAATGTGCCCTAGGCTCGGCATTGCCAGGTTTGCCGCTAGGCCATCCACCCTTTGACAAGACTCCAGTCAGCACACACAAATATCTAATTCAGTGCATAATCATTTCCACTCTCTGCTACCAGTGCCAGACATGGTCACTCACAACTAACTGTAACAGAACATTAGTAATCACAGAAATAAGATGTCTAAGAAGGGCTGCACAGGTGACCAGAAGAGATAAAATCAGGAATGAGTTCATAAGATAAAAGTCGATACAACCAATTCTAAATTCTAAACAAAGAAATCAAATCAAATTGTTGACATATTTAGAGAAACTGTCTTCCGATGACACCATTTAAGGTGTACATGAAAAGAGCAGAGCCTGCAGTAGACCAAGAACGAGATGGCAAGATAACATCAGAGAAACTGTATAACAGCACGGTGTGTCTATGGTCAAGGTGGCCACAAGAGCAAGATAACATCAGAGAAACTCTACAACAGCACAGTGTGTCTATGGTCAAGGTGGCCACAAGAGCAAGATAATATCAGAGAAACTCTACAACAGCACAGTGTGTCTATGGTCAAGGTGGCCACAAGAGCAAGATGGCAAGATAACATCAGAGAAACTCTACAACAGCACAGTGTGTCTATGGTCAAGGTGGCCACAAGAGCAAGATAACATCAGAGAAACTTTACAACAGCACAGTGTGTCTATGGTCAAGGTGGCCACAAGAGCAAGATAACATCAGAGAAACTCTACAACAGCACAGTGTGTCTATGGTCAAGGTGGCCACAAGAGCAAGATAACATCAGAGAAACTCTACAACAGCACAGTGTGTCTATGGTCAAGGTGGCCACAAGAGCAAGATAACATCAGAGAAACTCTACAACAGCACAGTGTGTCTATGGTCAAGGTGGCCACAAGAGCAAGATAATCAGAGAAACTCTACAACAGCACAGTGTGTCTATGGTCAAGGTGGCCACAAGAGCAAGATAACATCAGAGAAACTCTACAACAGCACAGTGTGTTTATGGTCAAGGTGGCCACAAGAGCAAGATAACATAAGAGAAACTCTACAACAGCACAGTGTGTCTATGGTCAAGGTGGCCACAAGAGCAAGATAACATCAGAGAAACTCTACAACAGCACAGTGTCTTTATGGTCAAGGTGGCCACAAGAGCAAGATAACATAAGAGAAACTCTACAACAGCACAGTGTGTTTATGGTCAAGGTGGCCACAAGAGCAAGATAACATAAGAGAAACTCTACAACAGCACAGTGTGTCTATGGTCAAGGTGGCCACAAGAGCAAGATAACATCAGAGAAACTTTACAACAGCACAGTGTGTCTATGGTCAAGGTGGCCACAAGAGCAAGATAACATCAGAGAAACTCTACAACAGCACAGTGTGTCTATGGTCAAACCAGAAGCAGAACATTAGATCTCCCTCAATACCTCAGGTGGTAAAAGAGGAATTGAAGAAGCATTTGGCAGTTAAAATCCCCATCAAATTCAGTGCAAGGTGATCGGCTGCCAAATCAACCACTGCTGGAATCGAACCAGGTACCTTGAAATTGTGAAGCATGCTCGCAAAACTAAACCACAGATGCCGAACCGGAGTAAAGCTAAAAGAGATGAAGCCTTATTACAGAGGTTTGAAAGCAGAGTCCAACACCAAATATTTGGACCCACCAAAGATTAAAACTGAGAAATGAAGAGCGAGAACAACATGTATCATCTGTTAATTTTTTTTTTTTTTCACTATTTAAACAGGATTTATTATTAAATTAAAAAAAGCTTCTTTCGTCTGTACATGAAGATCAGTCAAACTGTGCAAGCCCATGTCATCGTCTGACTCCTCAGACACTTCCTTCTTCTCTTCTTTCTTTGCTTCAGCTTCAGCAGGTTTGGCATCTCCACCACCTGCAGCAAGAGCCACAGCAGCAGGTGTTCCGCCGGACACAGCAACGGGTCCGGCCCCCAGCAGCACTGCCCACGTTACTGATCAACTCTTTCATGTTTAGGCCGTCCAAAGCCTTGGCAAACAAACCTGGCCAGTAAGGCTCAACAGATACATTGGCTGCCTTGAGAAGTGTTGAAATCTTGTCACCGGTAATTGCTACTTGGTCATCTGCCAAGATAAGGGTGGCATAAACGCAAGCGAGTTCGTCTGTATCGGCCATTATTATTGTTTTCATTAATGGATTTCATCATCTGTTAAAAACAGCATGAATGACTGGCATCAGCAGGGCTAATGGACTGAGGTGGTTGTGGCAAATAAAGGCAATGTCACATAATAGAGAGACAGAAACTACACTAAAGAGCTGAATGGGAGTAAATTATAAGGCAGACAATGGAGAGAGAATATCCAGACAGAACTACACACACTTTGAGTCACCAGCTGGAGAGAGGAGGCCAATCACAGACTTGAATGCAGGCATGTGATATCACATGATATCTGCAACAGTGAACCTCAAGTGAAAATGATATGTTTGTTGTCATTACTAATAGCATTGTTCTTGTGTCTGCCACTTGACAAAATAAGTTCAGTTGTTATTAAAAGGTAAAGGTAAAGTCGGGAGACGTAAACCAGCGTCATTGCACACGGTTACAAACCATAAGTGCTCTGCCACTGGTACGGACAGCTGATAAGTATTGTCCGCCTGTGTCGCCGTCCGCACTTAACTCTGTAGCTACAGCGACGTTCCTCCATTTACCCCAGAGTGTGAACTCTGGTACCCATTTCCTAAAGGCTGGGTGAACCCCGGGAACCGCCTGGTTTCGAACACCGACCGTGGGCTGCAGCGAGTCGCAGCTGGATTTGAAAGCAAGCCTCTTATCAACTGCGCTAATGGGGTTGTTATAGCTACATTCCACTCAAATGACATCTACATCTTGTTGTTTCCCCTTGTGCAGGGCCTTTCACAGATGTAGTCACTGCAGAACTCAAACTGACCAACCCAACTGACAGGCGTATCTGCTTCAAGGTCAAGACAACAGCACCAAAACGATACTGTGTTCGTCCCAACAGTGGCATTCTGGAGCCACACAACTCCATATCTGTGGCAGGTTAGTCACAGACATCTGAGTATTGTGTTAACTCTTGTCTAGGCAGCTGCGTGTCTCAGTTGTTGCATGGACAGCTGTATATCTCACTCTTGTTTGTGCATCTGCATATCTCACTCTTGTCTGGGCAGCTGCATGTCTCACTCTTGTTTGTGCATCTGTCTGTCTCTTGTTTGTGCATCTGTATGTCTCTTGTCTGGGCAGCTGCATATCTCACTCTTGTCTGGGCAGCTGCATGTCTCACTCTTGTCTGGGCAGCTGCATGTCTGACTCTTGTTTGTGCATCTGTATGTCTCACTCTTGTCTGGGCAGCTGCATGTCTCACTCTTGTTTGGGCAGCTGTATGTCTCACTCTTGTTTGTTCATCTGTATATCTCACTCTTGTTTGTGCATCTTCATATCTCACTCTTGTTTGTGCATCTGTATGTCTCACTCTTGTTTGTGCATCTGTATGTCTCACTCTTGTCTGGGCAGCTGCATGTCTCACTCTTGTTTGGGCAGCTGTATGTCGCACTCTTGTTTGTTCATCTGTATATCTCACTCTTGTTTGTGCATCTTCATATCTCACTCTTGTCTGGGCAGCTGCATATCTCACTCTTGTTTGTGCATCTGCATATCTCACTCTTGTTTGTGCATCTGCATATCTCACTCTTGTTTGTGCATCTGTATGTCTCACTTTTGTCTGGGCAGCTGCATGTCTCACTCTTGTTTGGGCAGCTGTATGTCGCACTCTTGTTTGTTCATCTGTATATCTCACTCTTGTTTGTGCATCTTCATATCTCACTCTTGTTTGTGCATCTGTATGTCTCACTCTTGTCTGGGCAGCTGCATGTCTCACTCTTGTTTGGGCAGCTGTATGTCGCACTCTTGTTTGTTCATCTGTATATCTCACTCTTGTTTGTGCATCTTCATATCTCACTCTTGTTTGTGCATCTGCCTATCTCACTCTTGTTTGTGCATCTGCATATCTCACTCTTGTTTGTGCATCTGCATATCTCACTCTTGTTTGTGCATCTGCATATCTCACTCTTGTTTGTGCATCTGCATATCTCACTCTTGTTTGTGCATCTGCATATCTCACTCTTGTTTGTGCATCTGTATGTCTCACTCTTGTTTGTGCATCTGTATGTCTCACTCTTGTTTGTGCATCTGCATATATCACTCTTGTTTGTGCATCTGTATGTCTCACTCTTGTTTGTGCATCTGTATGTCTCACTCTTGTTTGTGCATCTGTATATCTCACTCTTGTCTGGGCAGCTGCATGACTCACTCTTGTCTGGGCAGCTGCATGTCTCACTCTTGTTTGTGCAGCTGTGTCTCTCTTGTTTGTGCATCTGCATATCTCACTCTTGTTTGTGCATCTGTATGTCTAACTCTTGTTTGGGCAGCTGCATGTCTCACTCTTGTCCGGGCAGCTGCATGTCTCTCTTGTTTGTGCATCTGCATATCTCACTCTTGTTTGTGCATCTGCATATCTCACTCTTGTCTGGGCAGCTGCATGTCTCACTCTTGTTTGTGCATCTGTATGTCTCACTCTTGTTTGGGCAGCTGTATGTCTCACTCTTGTTTGGGCAGCTGTATGTCTCACTCTTGTTTGTGCAGCTGTATGTCTCACTCTTGTTTGTGCAGCTGTATGTCTCACTCTTGTTTGTGCAGCTGTATGTCTCACTCTTGTTTGGGCAGCTGTATGTCTCACTCTTGTTTGTGCAGCTGTATGTCTCACTCTTGTTTGGGCAGCTGTATGTCTCACTCTTGTTTGTGCATCTGCAAATCTCATTCTTGTTTGTGCATCTGCATATCTCACTCTTGTTTGTGCATTTGCATATCTCACTCTTGTTTGGGCATCTGCATATCTCACTCTTGTCTGGGCATCTGTATGTCTCACTCTTGTTTGTGCATCTGTATGTCTCACTCTTGTTTGTGCATCTGTATATCTCACTCTTGTTTGTGCATCTGCATATCTCACTCTTGTTTGTGCATCTGCATATCTCACTCTTGTTTGTGCAGCTGTGTCTCTCTTGTTTGTGCATCTGCATATCTCACTCTTGTTTGTGCATCTGTATGTCTAACTCTTGTTTGGGCAGCTGCATGTCTCACTCTTGTCTGGGCAGCTGCATGTCTCTCTTGTTTGTGCATCTGCATATCTCACTCTTGTTTGTGCATCTGCATATCTCACTCTTGTCTGGGCAGCTGCATGTCTCACTCTTGTTTGTGCATCTGTATGTCTCACTCTTGTTTGGGCAGCTGTATGTCTCACTCTTTGTTTGGGCAGCTGTATGTCTCACTCTTGTTGTGCAGCTGTATGTCTCACTCTTGTTTGTGCAGCTGTATGTCTCACTCTTGTTTTGTGCAGCTGTATGTCTCACTCTTGTTTGGGCAGCTGTATGTCTCACTCTTGTTTGTGCAGCTGTATGTCTCACTCTTGTTTGGGCAGCTGCATGTCTCACTCTTGTTTGTGCATCTGCATATCTCACTCTTGTTTGTGCATCTGCATATCTCACTCTTGTTTGTGCATCTGCATATCTCACTCTTGTATGGGCATCTGCATATCTCACTCTTGTTTGTGCATCTGTATGTCTCACTCTTGTTTGTGCATCTGTATATCTCACTCTTGTTTGTGCATCTGCATATCTCACTCTTGTTTGTGCATCTGCATATCTCACTCTTGTCTGGGCAGCTGCATGTCTCACTCTTGTTTGTGCAGCTGTGTCTCTCTTGTTTGTGCATCTGCATATCTCACTCTTGTTTGTGCATCTGTATGTCTCACTCTTGTTTGTGCATCTGTATATCTCACTCTTGTCTGGGCAGCTGCATGACTCACTCTTGTCTGGGCAGCTGCATGTCTCACTCTTGTTTGTGCAGCTGTGTCTCTCTTGTTTGTGCATCTGCATATCTCACTCTTGTTTGTGCATCTGTATGTCTCACTCTTGTTTGTGCATATGTATGTCTCACTCTTGTTTGTGCATCTGTATATCTCACTTTTGTTTGTGCATCTGTATGTCTCACTCTTGTCTGGGCAGCTGCATATCTCACTCTTGTTTGGGCAGCTGTATGTCGCACTCTTGTTTGTTCATCTGTATATCTCACTCTTGTTTGTGCATCTTCATATCTCACTCTTGTTTGTGCATCTGCATATCTCACTCTTGTTTGTGCATCTGCATATCTCACTCTTGTTTGTGCATCTGCATATCTCACTCTTGTTTGTGCATCTGTATATCTCACTTTTGTTTGTGCATCTGCATATCTCACTCTTGTTTGTGCAGCTGTATGTCTCACTCTTGTTTGTGCATCTGCATATCTCACTCTTGTTTGTGCATCTGCATATCTCACTCTTGTCTGGGCATCTGTATGTCTCACTCTTGTTTGTGCATCTGTATGTCTCACTCTTGTTTGTGCATCTGTATATCTCACTCTTGTTTGTGCATCTGTATATCTCACTCTTGTCTGGGCAGCTGCATGACTCACTCTTGTCTGGGCAGCTGCATGTCTCACTCTTGTTTGTGCAGCTGTGTCTCTCTTGTTTGTGCATCTGCATATCTCACTCTTGATTGTGCATCTGTATGTCTAACTCTTGTTTGGGCAGCTGCATATCTCACTCTTGTCTGGGCAGCTGCATATCTCACTCTTGTTTGGGCAGCTGTATACCTCACTCTTGTTTGTGCATCTGCTTATCTTTCTTGTTTGTGTAGCTGCATATCTCACTCTTGTTTGGGCAGCTGCATGTCTCACTCTTGTTTGTGCAGCTGTATGTCTCACTCTTGTCTGGGCAGCTGCATATCTCACTCTTGTTTGGGCAGCTGCATGTCTCACTCTTGTCTGGGCAGCTGCATGTCTCACTCTTGTTTGTGCATCTGCATATCTCACTCTTGTCTGGGCAGCTGCATGTCTCACTCTTGTTTGTGCATCTGCATATCTCACTCTTGTCTGGGCAGCTGCATGTCTCACTCTTGTTTGTGCATCTGTATGTCTCACTCTTGTTTGTGCATCTGCATATCTCACTCTTGTTTGTGCATCTGCGTATCTCACTCTTGTCTGGGCAGCTGCATGTCTCACTCTTGTTTGTGCATCTGTATGTCTCACTCTTGTTCGGGCAGCTGTATGTCTCACTCTTGTTTGGGCAGCTGTATGTCTCACTCTTGTTTGTGCAGCTGTATGTCTCACTCTTGTTTGTGCAGCTGTATGTCTCACTCTTGTTTGTGCAGCTGTATGTCTCACTCTTGTTTGGGCAGCTGTATGTCTCACTCTTGTTTGTGCAGCTGTATGTCTCACTCTTGTTTGTGCAGCTGTATGTCTCACTCTTGTTTGGGCAGCTGTATGTCTCACTCTTGTTTGTGCATCTGCATATCTCATTCTTGTTTGTGCATCTGCATATCTCACTCTTGTCTGGGCATCTGTATGTCTCACTCTTGTTTGTGCATCTGTATGTCTCACTCTTGTTTGTGCATCTGTATATCTCACTCTTGTTTGTGCATCTGCATATCTCACTCTTGTTTGTGCATCTGCATATCTCACTCTTGTCTGGGCAGCTGCATGTCTCACTCTTGTTTGTGCAGCTGTGTCTCTCTTGTTTGTGCATCTGCATATCTCACTCTTGTTTGTGCATCTGTATGTCTCACTGTTGTCTGGGCATCTGTATGTCTCACTCTTGTCTGGGCAGCTGTGTCTCTCTTGTCTGGGCAGCTGCATGTCTCACTCTTGTTTGTGCAGCTGTATGTCTCACTCTTGTTTGTGCATCTGTATATCTCACTCTTGTTTGTGCATCTGCATATCTCACTCTTGTTTGTGCATCTGTATATCTCACTCTTGTTTGGGCAGCTGTATATCTCACTCTTGTTTGTGCATCTGCATATCTCTCTTGTTTGTGCAGCTGCATATCTCACTCTTGTTTGTTCAGCTGCATATCTCATTCATTGTGCATATGTATGTCTCACTCTTGTTTGTGCATCTGCATATCTCACTATTGTTTATGCAGCTGCATATCTCTCTTGTTTGTGCAGCTGCATATCTCATTTATTGTGCATCTGTATGTCTCACTCTTGTTTGGGCATCTGCATATCTCACTATTGTTTGTGCAGCTGCATATCTCACTCTTGTTTGTGCATCTGTATGTCTCACTGTTTGGACAGCTGCATGTATCACTCTTGTATGGGCAGCTACATATCTCACTATTGTTTAGGCCGCAGCATGTCTCTCTTGTGGACAACTGCATATCTCACTCGTGTGGGCAGCTGCATATCTCAGCTGTGTGTGTGTGGTGGTGGTATCTGTAAGTATATATTGTGTGTGGTATGAGCATCATATATCTTCCCTACTTTTCTTTCTATATCAAGGGCTTGTATTAGGTGTCATTTGACTGTGGTCTGGGCCTCCTAATTGTCAGCATAACCCAGCTAGAAAGACTGGACCAAGTACAATATGAAGCCATGAGACTCATACTTGGCTGCACACAAGACACCTGTTGCCACGCCATGCGTCCTGGGTTTGCAGATGATGGCTAACAGATAACAAGTGGTGTCAAGGCGTACTTGAGGGTATCAGCAGACGTTAACCACCCACTGCACAATACTATACACGACACACACAAACTGCATCTCAAAAGAGGCTGCTCCTGGATGGCCAAGGCTGAAGATTTAATCCAGTAGATAAGCGACCTAGATGTGATCGGTCAAGGAAAAGAATGGACGAAGATACCAGTAGGCATACATGGCATCTCAAAGGTTGTCATCACACTCGGAAAGTACCGCAGGGATTAGATTCCTGCGGTTGTAGACAGAGGGTCAGGGGCACTGATAGATCAGCATTCACACCCAGAAGATATCATCTACACAGATGGATTTGTGAAGCAAGGATCATTGTCAGCTTGGGCAACACAGCACAAAGGATGGAGAAAACACCACAGAAGGACAACAGAGCTTATCAGACAATTACGTTAAGCATCACCATGGAGATAGCAGCTGCTTCTAGTCCACTAGCATGGGTATCCGAGCAAACCGCCACACAGGCAGTAATTGTATCAGACTTCATGCTTCAGAAGATAGCCACAAGTGGTATGCGTACTGAATGGACCACAAGTGGTATGCTCACTGAATGGGCCACAAGTGGTATGCTCGCTGAATGGGCCACAAGTGGTATGCGCACTGAATGGGTAGAAAGCATTCTTGAATCGCACTTGACCTCCCTCACCTCTATCTCCATTTTTTGCCCATGCTGGCATACAGGGTAATGAACGAGCAGTCCAGCGAGCAAGCCGTGCACCGACACATGTGGGAAGATGCTGCCTTTGACTCCGAGATAGAAGACATAACCAGGCTCTCATGTGAACAATTAATAGAAGTGCCTTGGAGTGGTTGCTGCGTGGGGGGACTGAGCACGCATGAGAATGTCCAGTGTGTAGTGTTGTCGATTGTGATATTTGATATCTGCCCATGAAGTGCCTTCAGATTTACTGCATGGCCACAGTCAACCTAGAAATAGGCTTGACATCTTTCCTCGAAGTCGGTGTGCATCTGCCGGAGAGGCGGGGAACGAGAACCGCAAACAAATAAGCAAGTAAAACGGATATACAGGCAAAACAAAGAAGAAGATATACTGCAACTCTTTGTTCAGATCAGTTGCCAGTGTTCATGGTTTTCTTGTCACCACATGTAGCCAGTACTCAAGTTTTAATTGTATTTTATGTTTTCATATGCAGAGAATACAGCCCTTCTATGTTGTATATTTTCTCCAGTAATGCTTCAGCCATTTGACTTTGATCCACAAGAAAAAAACAAGCACAAATTCATGGTGCAGTCCATGTTTGCTCCTGAAACTCTAGGCGATAGTCCAGATAATCTGGTAAGTCAGGCTCTTGTGTGTCATGCCTGGGTCAGTTATCTCTTCTCTGTCATGCCTTAGTCAGTTATCTCTTGTGTGTCATGCCTTAGTCAGTTATCTCTTGTGTGTCATGTCTGACTCAGTTATCTCTTGTGTGTCATGCCTGGGTCAGTTATCTCTTGTGTGTCATGCTTTAGTCAGTTATCTCTTGTGTGTCATGTCTGACTCAGTTATCTCTTGTGTGTCATGCCTGGGTCAGTTATCTCTTGTGTGTCATGCCTGGGTCAGTTATCTCTTGTGTGTCATGCCTGGGTCAGTTATCTCTTGTGTGTCATGCCTGGGTCGGTTATCTCTTGTGTGTCATGTCTGACTCAGTTATCTCTTGTGTGTCATGCCTGGGTCAGTTACCTCTTGTGTGTCATGCCTTAGTCAGTTATCTCTTGTGTGTCATGTCTGACTCAGTTATCTCTTGTGTGTCATGTCTGACTCAGTTATCTCTTGTGTGTCATGCCTGGGTCAGTTATCTCTTGTGTGTCATGCCTGGGTCAGTTATCTCATGTGTGTCATGCCTGGGTCAGTTATCTCTTGTGTGTCATGCCTGGGTCAGTTATCTCTTGTGTGTCATGCCTTAGTCAGTTATCTCTTGTGTGTCATGTCTGACTCAGTTATCTCTTGTGTGTCATGTCTTAGTTATCTCTTGTGTGTCATGTCTGACTCAGTTATCTCTTGTGTGTCATGCCTTAGTCAGTTATCTCTTGTGTGTCATGTCTTAGTTATCTCTTGTGTGTCATGTCTGACTCAGTTATCTCTTGTGTGTCATGCCTGGGTCAGTTATCTCTTGTGTGTCATGCCTGGGTCAGTTATCTTTTGTGTGTCATACCGTAGTCAGTTATCTCTTGTGTGTCATGTCTTAGTTATCTCTTGTATGTCACGTCTGACTCAGTTATCTCTTCTGTCATGCCTTAGTCAGTTATCTCTTGTGTGTCATGTCTGGGGCAGTTATCTCTTGTGTGTCATGCCTGAGTCAGTTATCTCTTCTCTGTCATGCATCAGTCAGTTATCTCTTGTGTGTCATGTCTGACTCAGTTATCTCTTCTCTGTCATGCATCAGTCAGTTATCTCTTGTGTGTCATGTCTGACTCAGTTATCTCTTGTGTGTCATGTCTGACTCAGTTATCTCTTTTCTGTCATGCCTGAGTCAGTTATCTCTTTTGTGTCATGTCTGTTATCTCTTCTGTATTATCTCAGTTATCCTTCCATATATCTCTGTTATCTCTTCCGTATTATCTGTTATCATTTCTGTGTTATGTCTGCTATCCCTCCTGTGATGTGTCTGTTATCTCTGGATGATACAGCAGTCTCTGTGTGTTCACAGTTTATAATGTAAGGATGATACAGCAGTCTCTGTGTGTTCACAGTTGATGATGTAAGGATGAAACAGCAGTCTCTGTAGGTTCACAGTTTATAATGTAAGGATGATACAGCAGTCTGTGTGTGTTCACAGTTTATAATGTAAGGATGAAACAGCAGTCTATGTGTGTTCACAGTTTATGATGTAAGGATGAAACAGCACTATGTGTGTTCACAGTTTATGATGTAAGGATGATATAGCAGTCTATGTGTGTTCACAGTTTATAATGTAAGGATGATACAGCAGCAGTCTGTGTGTTCACAGTTTATAATGTAAGGATGATACAGCAGCAGTCTGTGTGTTCACAGTTTATAATGTAAAGATGATGCAGTAGGCTGAAATAATTACATTTAGTAAGTTCTAAAATACTCCATAATCATGTAGAAATAAATGTGGGTTCTTGGGTCCCTTTGTGGGGAAAACAAGAATAGACCCACTGCCTTCCCAACAAGCATGTCGTAGGAGTCAGCTGTTTAGGGGCATCCTTTAGAGGCAAGAAACGAAGTCTGCATACAACTAAGCCACGTGTGTGAAATTGATGTGCACACAACACTGAGGTTCTGAAGATGAAGGGACTCCTAGAACTTTTAGCCTGAGTTTACTGCTGGTCAACCTAGAGAAAAAAAAAGTGTAGAAATAAATAATTCCCTATAGGGTTTTGACCTTATATAGTATGTACTTGTATTGGTATGTAGGTGAATCAGTATTTACGTATGACAGTATTTACATTTATCAGTACATATGGGTTAAGTCTGTAATTGAAACAGAATGCTATTTAAATGTCATTGATGTCACATTGTCACTGATATTTATAACATGAAGTCCAAATGTCAAATGGTATTTGTGTTTGCAACAGTGGAAGGAAGTATTGCCAGAGAACCTCATGGACACAAAACTCAAGTGTGTCTTTGAGATGCCAGACTCAGTACACCAAACCATCTCCCCACAGCTGAACAGGTCACAGGATTCAGCCCCGCTGTCTTATGTAAGTCCCCTTGTTTGAATTTTGTCTCCCTGCTTAAACTTTGTCCTTTTGCTTGAACTTTGTTCCCCTTGCTTGAACTTTAATCCCATGCTTGAACTTTGTCCCTAAGCTTGACCTTTGTCCCCAAGCTTGACTTTTGTCCCCAAGCTTGAACTCTGTCCCCAAGCTTGAACTCTGTCCCCAAGCTTGAACTTTATCCCCTTGCTTGAACTTTGTCCTAGCTTGAACTTTATCCCCTTGCTTGAACTTTATCCTAGCTTGAACTGTGTCTCTTATGTGTACATACATACATACATACATACATACATACATACATACATAACATGCATACAAACACACACGCAGACAGACAAATAGTGAAGCAACTGCTGAGTGCCTGATGTTTGCCTTCACTTTCAGTCAGAGAGCACATTTGAGGATTCTTCCAGAAGAACAGATTCTCCCAAGGTGTGTCATGGGTCCATGTATCTGTCTGTCTGTCTAGTCATTACTTGTATGTGTATCCGTATTTGTATGTCAGCTATGTTTGTCATATATGTGTGTGTATACCTCTCCCTGTCTGCATAGCTTACAGGGCTGGTTGGAGACTTATCTGTCAGATGTGTGATGTGGGCTGGTTGTAGACTGTTGGTTCCTTGCCTCTCAGGCAGATGCACTCCGACTTCGAAGGAAGCTCCCAATTAGTCAACTCTAATGACATGCTTTTGGGTAGGCAGTGGGTCTATTCTGGTTTTCCCTATAATAGGGCCCCTGAAACCCACACAGGAAGTTGGAGACATGTCTGTAGGATGTGGGCTGGTTGGAGATTTGTCTGTCAGATGTTTGATGTGTGGAGACTTGTCCTTCAGATAGATGTGGGCTGGTTGGAGATTTGTCTGAGATGTGAGATGTGGGCTGGTTGGAGATTTGTCTGTGGGATGTGGGCTGGTTGGAGATTTGTCTGTGGGATGGGTTCAGACTTGTTCGTCAAATGTGGGTTAGGTAGAAACTTGTTAGTCAGATAGATATGGATGTAAGAGGATGTACAGATTAAAACTGTTTTCTCTGTGTGATAGGAGGTGTACAGATTAGAGTTTTCTCTGATGTGAGAGGATGTACAGATTAAAGTTGTTTTCTCTGTGTGACATGAGAGGTTGTACAGATTAAAGTTGTTTGTGTGATGTGAGAGGGTGTACAGATTTCATCTGTTTTTTTCTATGTGACGTGAGAGGGTGTACAGATTAAAGCTGTTTTTTCTTGTGTGACGTGAAGATACTCACATGAAAATAAAACTAGGACTGAATTGATTCCTATCTTGAAGAGGCCAAGTGGGGTTACATCGGATGATGCCAGGAAGCTGCAAGTAGAGCTGAAGACTGCCCAGGCAGAACTGTCTTACCTCAAGTCTGAGAACAGCAAGTTGAAGGTCACCTTGTTTTCTTTGTCTTCTCCCTCCTTTTGTTTCCTCTCTTTTGTCATATGCTTTTTTTTTGTGTGTTTCCTTTTCTTATCCATCTTGTGTTTTTTTTTCTTATTGTTCATCTTGTGTTTCCTTTTCTTATTGTTCATCTTTTTTAATTTCTTTTTCTTACTGTTCGTCTTGTTAATTTCCTATTCTTATTGTTCAATTTTTTAATTTCCTTTTCTTGTGATTAATCTTTTCATGTTGTTAGTCTTTTCTTGTTGTTCATCTTTTATTTCCTTTTCTTGTTTATCTGTTTTGTCTCACTCCGCCATGGGGTCTAGGGCTCCATTATAGGGGAAAACAAGAATAGAGGTCCCCCCCCCCCCCACCCACCCAATCAAAATGGTATAGCAGGTGACTGATTAGGAGTGTTTCCTTTAAAGTCAGAGTGCATCTACCTTAAGGGTTAGGAACCAACAGTCTGCATACAGATAAGCCATATCTGTAAAACTGATATGCATGCTAAACTCAAGTTCTGAAATAAGACCAAAGTTCAGAAGTGGGCAAACAACCAGACATTTCTGCCAGTTTACAGCTGTTAAACACTAAGAAGAAGAAAAAGAGGCTCTCTTTTGCTTGTGTTGTAGCTATTTTTTTTTTATGTCACTGGGGGACTGACTAAACCGTGTCAGAGGAGATGAATGGGGATGAAGTGTGATCGACTGTGTTGGCTAGGAGATCTGATTGATGATGCCAGCTAGATCTGATTGACTATGCTAGCTAGGAGATCTGATTGATGATGCCGGCTAGATCTGATTGACTATGCTAGCTAGGAGATCTGATTGATGATGCCGGCTAGATCTGATTGACTATGCTAGCTAGGAGATCTGATTGATGATGCCGGCTAGATCTGATTGACTATGCTAGCTAGGAGATCTGATTGATGATGCCGGCTAGATCTGATTGATGATGCCGGCTAGATCTGATTGACTATGCTGGCTAGGAGATCTGATTGACTATGCTAGCTAGGAGATCTGATCGACTATGCTGGCTAGGAGATCTGGTCGATGATGCCGGCTAGATCTGATTGACTATGCTGGCTAGGAGATCTGATCGACTATGCTGGCTAGGAGATCTGGTCAACGATGCCGGCTAGGAGATCTGGTCGATGATGCCGGCTAGATCTGATCGACTATGCTGGCTAGGAGATCTGATCAACTATGCTAGCTAGAAGATCATACATACTTTCTTACTTTAAACTGATCAGCATCATATCACACGGGTGTAACCCATAATTGCTCCGTTCTTCTAACTCAGGCCTGAGTCTGAAGAATTTCAGCGCAGTGCACGAACTCTGTTGCACCAGCGAGGATGCTGAAATACTTTGGGTAGATTTTTAACTCCAAGTTCTGCCTAGGCAGCGCTGTTAGGCTGCTCTTGTAGTTTTCCAACTGCCAAAGTATTTTTTACCTGCGCAACAATACACACGGGCGTCCAGTCTTACTATGCAGAGACCAGGGGAAATTACTAGAAGTCCACATGAAAAAGATCCTAGCCTTCTCCGGGGTTGGAACCCAGGACCTCCAGCATTTGGGGCGGACACCATGCCTTGAGACCACGCCCAGAGTGACTGCAGTTGGAAAAGGGTGTGTTGTAAGAACCATATTTTCCTCCATATAATAGTGCAGGGCCAGATGGTGTTGTTATTCCTCCTTATAATGGTGCATGACCAGAAAGGGTGTTTTTTCCCCTCTGTATCATGGTACATTTCTTCCGGATAGTGTTATTTGTTCCATATAATAGTACATTGCGGGATAGTGTTATTTGTTCCATATAATAGTACATTGCCGAATAGTGTTATTGCTTCCATATAATAGTACATTGCCGAATAGTGTTATTGCTTCCATATAATAGTACATTGCCGAATAGTGTTATTGCTTCCATATAATAGTACATTGCCGAATAGTGTTATTGCTTCCATATAATAGTACATTGCCGAATAGTGTTATTGCTTCCATATAATAGTACATTGCCGAATAGTGTTATTGCTTCCATATAATAGTGCCGAATAGTGTTATTGCTTCCATATAATAGTACATTGCGGGATAGTGTTATTTGTTCCATATAATAGTACATTGCCGGACAGTGTTATTTGTTCCATATAATAGTACATTGCGGGATAGTGTTATTTGTTCATCATAATAGTACATTGCCTGGACAGTGTTATTTGTTCCATATAATAGTACATTGCGGGATAGTGTTATTTGTTCCATATAATAGTACATTGCCGGACAGTGTTATTTGTTCCATATAATAGTACATTGCGGGATAGTGTTATTTGTTCCATATAATAGTACATTGCCGGACAGTGTTATTTGTTCCATATAATAGTACATTGCCGGAAAGTGTTATTTGTTCCATATAATAGTACATTGCCGGAAGTGTTATTTGTTCCATATAATAGTACATTGCGGGATAGTGTTATTTGTTCCATATAATAGTACATTACCGGATAGTGTTATTTCTTCCATATAATAGTACATTGCGGGATAGTGTTATTTGTTCCATATAATAGTACATTACCGGATAGTGTTATTTCTTCCATATAATAGTACATTGCGGGATAGTGTTATTTCTTCCATATAATAGTACATTAAACAAAACTGCCATGGAGAAGGAAATATATGTTAATGAGGAAAGATTGGAAGTGGTGGAAACTTTCGAATATCTTGGGTCACTGGTTACCAACAATGGTGACACAATGAAAGAAATTAAACGGCGACTATCAATTGCTCTTCAAAGACTAAAACAACTGAATAAATTATGGAATTGTACAGATAGAATTACAAAGGTCAGATTTTTAAGAGCATGCATCTTTCCCATTGCAACATACGCCTGTGAGACCTGGACACTTACTAAACAAGCGGAACAGCGCATAAATGCATTTGAATATAAATGTTACAGACAGGTTCTAAGAATATCTTGGGTAAAGAAAAGAACAAATGCATCCATACTTCAAGAGCTGAATATTGAAGAGGGTTGGCTAGTAAAGACAATAAAACAAAGAAAATTGAAATATTTTGGTCACTTGAAACGTCATGGAGGTCTAGAGAGAACAATAATGGAGGGGTATATGCCTGGGAAGAGAGGAAGAGGAAGGCCAAGGAGAAGATGGGTGCAGGATGTGGCAGATGATCTCCAGATGGGTGTATCAGACGCAGGACATCTTGCTCATGATAGGAAGGTTTTCCGGAGGGTTGTTATGGCAGCGAGGTTCCGCGAGGGACATGCTACTGAATGAATGAATGAATAGTACATTGCGGGATAGTGTTATTTCTTCCATATAATAGTTCATTTCCAGATGGTATTATTATTTCCAAGTAAAATGGTGCATGGCACATGTTTTTGTGATGTGGTTTTGAGAGAAACAACAGTGATTTGAAGGTTATCCTGTTTTTTTTTTAATTTAGGAGGAGGGTCTGCGGTTGAGGAAACTGAACGTGCCTGGCACAGTGGCCTCCTCACACGCACACACAACATCGGTGTCTGGTCAGCGAGCACAGATCTTCCCCCCGGTGGTGTACATGCTCGCTGCCATCATCATTGGCTTGATCATCGGCAAGTTTTTACTTTGACCTCCAGGCCCCGCCCATCGTCTTGTTTCTTTGTTTCCGTGATGTCTCACTGACAGGACTCGTGTGTGTGGAAGCAAGAGAAGGAGGGACACCTCAAACACAGACAGCAAGGCCCGGCAGAGCGTGTGGTACAGGGAGCATCAGACAGCAAGGCCCAGCATACATGGCCTGCTGCAGATTTCTCTTGATTGTCACCTCTGCATGAATATTGTCTTGTTGCCTGGGTGCAAGTGTGCATTGAGTTTGTTGCAAGTGATTTATTTTGTAAATGTGTGGTTGAGTTTATTTGTTGTAAGTGCATGATTGGCATTGTGTTGCTGTGTACTGGGCATTTTATGGGATAGTATCTGTGTGTCATGTCTTCTCTTGTGTGTGGATGCTGGGCTATCTTGTATCTCATGTTTCCTCTTATGTTTAGGGAACTGATCTATCTTGTGTCTGATGTTTCCTCTTGTGTTTGGGGTGCTGATCTATCTTGTGTCTCATGTTTCCTCTCATGTGTGGGGTCATCTTCTGGGTGTGCTAGGTGTGTGTTGTCATCTTCTGGGTGTGCTAGGTATGTGTTGTCATCACTGGGTGTGCTAGGTATGTGTTGTCATCACTGGGTGTGCTAGCTGTGTGCTGTAGTCAATTAATGTGCTAGCTGTAGTCAGGGGATGTGTAGCTAGCACTGAGATGCCACGTGCTGGTAAACTAGACTGCAACTGATAGCAGAGGTCTTCTTCCATTACAGGATGGTTTGTTTGTTACAGGTGTCAGTATGAAATGTTCTATGTGTTACATAAAACAGGTGTTTGTACGAAAAGTTCTATGTGTTACGTAAAACAGGCGGCATTATGGAATGTTCTATGTGGTACATGAAACATATGTTGGTACCAAGTGGTCTATGTGGTACTTGAAACATGATAGTTCAATGTGTTTTATGTGGTACATGAAACATATGTTGGTACTAAAGTGTTCTGTGTGGTACATAAAACATATGTTGGTACAAAGTGTTCTATGTGGTACATGAAACATATGTTGGTACAAAGTGTTCTATGTGGTACATAAAACATATGTTGGTACAAAGTGTTCTATGTGGTACATGAAACATATGTTGGTACAAAGTGTTCTAATGTGGTACATGAAACATATGTTGGTACAAAGTGTTCTATGTGGTACATGAAACATATGTTGGTACTAAAGTGTTCTATGTGGTACATGAAACATATGTTGGTACAAAGTGTTCTAATGTGGTACATGAAACATATGTTGGTACAAAGTGTTCTATGTGGTACATGAAACATATGTTGGTACTAAAGTGTTCTATGTGGTACATGAAACATATGTTGGTACAAAGTGTTCTAATGTGGTACATGAAACATATGTTGGTACAAAGTGTTCTATGTGGTACATGAAACATATGTTGGTACTAAAGTGTTCTATGTGGTACATGAAACATATGTTAGTACAAAGTGTTCTATGTGGTACATGAAACATATGTTAGTACAAAGTGTTCTATGTGGTACATGAAACATATGTTGGTACTAAAGTGTTCTATGTGGTACATGAAACATATGTTAGTACAAAGTGTTCTATGTGGTACATGAAACATATGTTAGTACAAAGTGTTCTATGTGGTACATGAAACATATGTTAGTACAAAGTGTTCTATGTGGTACATGAAACATATGTTAGTACAAAGTGTTCTATGTGGTACATGAAACAGGTGTTAGTTTGGAGCTGCTACTGTGATGTATATAACTGAGTTCTGTTGTATATAGTTTGCTTCATTGTTGTCAGCAGACCTGCTTGGGTGTGTGTGTGTGTATATTGTAACAGAATGTCATCTTGTGTGTGTGTGGCATCACATAATGTGTCATCTTGTATGTGTGAAAGTCACAGAATGTCTGTCACCTTGTGTGTGTGTGTGTGTGTGACATTCACAGAATGTCATCTTTTGTATGTGCGAGAGTCACAGAATGTCATCTTGTGTGTGTGAAACTCACAGAAAGTCATCCAGTGTGTTTTCACATAAAATATCTTGTGCGTGTGATCACATAATGTCATATTTTGTAAGTATTGTCAAACATTGTCTTCTTGTGTGTCATAACAGTGTCAACTCATGTGTGTCATAACAGTGTCAACTCGCGTGTTCATCATTGCAGAAGGCCGTCTTGTGTACATGTGTGTAGTCACAGAATGTCATTTTGTGTTTGTGTTTATATCATCACAGAATGTCATCTTGTAGGTTTATGTCATCACAGAATGTCATCTTGTATGTGTGTGTAATCACAGAATGTCAGCTTCCTTTTCTGTTAAGTCAGTTTGGCTGTGTCACCAATAAAAGCAAGTTTGAATCTGGTTGCCCCAGTGTGAAGTTGTGTCACTTGGCTTCATTATTAAATTGGGGATGAAATCATTTCTAGGGTTGGGGCGTAAAATGATTTTTATAGTTGAAAGAGGGGGGGGGGGGATCATATCTAGAGCTTGTGGTGAAATGATTTCTGGAGATGATGTTTAAACAATAAACTTTTATTAGCAGCCTCTGCCGTAGTCCTGTTTCAGATACTTGCTAATAGTGTTGCTTAGATATGTCATGATACAGATACTTTACATAACACACCCCTACAGACACTTTACATAGCTCACCCCTACAGACACTTTACATAGCTCACCCCTACAGACACTTTACATAGCTCACCCCTACAGACACTTTACATAGCTCACCCCTACAGACACTTTACATAGCTCACCCCTACAGACACTTTACATAGCTCACCCCTACAGACACTTTACATAGCTCACCCCTACAGACACTTTACATAGCTCACCCCTACAGACACTTTACATAGCTCACCCCTACAGACACTTTACATAGCTCACCCCTACAGACACTTTACATAGCTCACCCCTACAGACACTTTACATAGCTCACCTTTACAGACACTTTACATAGCTCACCCCTACAGACACTTTACATAGCTCACCCCTACAGACACTTTACATAGCTCACCCCTACAGACACTTTACATAGCTCACCCCTACAGACACTTTACATAGCTCACCCCTACAGACACTTTACATAGCTCACCCCTACAGACACTTTACATAGCTCACCCCTACAGACACTTTACATAGCTCACCCCTACAGACACTTTACATAGCTCACCCCTACAGACACTTTACATAGCTCACCCCTACAGACACTTTACATAACACACCCCTACAGACACTTTACATAGCTCACCCCTACAGACACTTTACATAGCTCACCCCTACATACACTTTACATAGCTCACCCCTACAGACACTTTACATAGCTTACCCCTACAGACACTTTACATAGCTCACCCCTGCAGACACTTTACATAACTCACCCCTGCAGACACTTTACATAACTCACCCCTGCAGACACTTTACATAGCTCACCCCTACAGACACTTTACATAACACATCCCTACAGACACTTTACATAACACATCCCTACAGACACTTTACATAACACACTCCTACAGACACTTTACATAACTCACCCCTACAGACACTTTACATAGCTCACCCCTACAGACACTTTACATAACTCACCCCTACAGACACTTTACATAACTCACCCCTACAGACACTTTACATAACTCACCCCTACAGACACTTTACATAGCTCTTACACACACACACCCCTTCTGACACTTTACCAGGCACTTTACATAGCTCTTACACACACACACACACACACACCCCTTCTGACACTTTACCAGGCACTTTACATAGCTCATGCGACATTTACACAGCTCAGTTCATGTGGCAGACCCTTTACATAGCTCATATCACAGACACTTTACATAGCTCATATCAGATACACTTTACATAGCCCAGGTCATGTCACAGACACTTTACATTGGTCAGGTCACAGACACTTTACATTGGTCATGTCACAGACACTTTACATTTGTCATGTCACAGACACTTTAACATTGGTCATGTCATAGACACTTTACACAGCTCAGGTCATGTCACAGATACTTTACCTAGTTCATGTCACAGACACTTTACATAATTCAGATGATCGGCACTTTGCATAGCTCACGTCACAGACACATAGCTCATATGACAGACACTTTACATACCTCAGGTCATGCCACAGACACACACATGCAGACTCACAGACCAGATATACACTCACAAGCCACACACACAGAGATAAGAGTGGTGTGCGGGTGCCTCATACATACAAGAATAGTTTGGCACACACACAAAGACAAGAACAGTGGGGCTCACACACAAACAACAATGATATTGCACACACACAAACAAGAACAGGTTTGGGTGTGTTTTATCTTCTGGACAATCAAAAACTAACAACTACACATGGCACTGTTGTTCTCTTGTCAGTGATTGTTTACACAAGTACTACTTGTGATGTGAAGTGATGTTTCCAAGTTTCCCCTTGTTGTGTATACTGATATGTCAAAGTTTTTCCAGGTTCTAAAGTGATATTGATCTTTGTTCTGTGTATTGATGTGTCCACGTTGAACCATGTTCTGTATTGGTATGTGAGAAAGTGAGTCCAACTTCTGTGTTATCTTTTAATCAAGTTATCAGTTGTTGGTCTATGTTATGATGTGACTAAGTGGTGGTCCATGTTATGATGTAACCAAGTTGTGGTCCATGTTGTGATGTGACCAAGTCCAGGTCCATGTTGTGATGTGAGCAAGTGCTGGTCCATGTTGTGATGTGACCAAGTGCTGGTCCATGTTGTGATGTGACCAAGTGGTGGTCCATGTTATGATGTGACCAAGTGCTGGTCCATGTTATGATGTGACCAAGTGCTGGTCCATGTTATGATGTGACCAAGTGCTGGTCCATGTTGTGATGTGACCAAGTGCTGGTCCGTGTTGTGATGTGATTAAGTGCTGGTCCATGTTGAGATGTGACCAAGTGCTGGTCCATGTTGTGTTGTGAGCAAGTGCTGGTCCATGTTGTGATGTGACCAAGTTATCAACGGGCTGTTACATCTCAGA